GTTCCTGAATGTACAATTTGTTTATCACGATGTCAAGTTCTAAATCTTGTATTGGTTGTCTAAAACTGTTTGATTTTGCTTAGTTATATTTGTATCCTATATTTTATTAAACAAACTCAAAATAATGTTTATAATTGCCTTCATCAGCCTTCATATCATTAAAGTTATTATTATCACTTATCATTATCAGTCATTATGTAGTTATTTGTTCATTTGTTGCTGTTTGTTGTTCTCTCTCTCTCTCGTCTGGTTTTGGCTCTGCTACTAGGCAATTGCCAGCTCAATTTCATGATGACCTCAATGTTGTCTGGCTGTACACCATATTGGGGCCATCTACCATTCCACAATAATCAAAACAAACAAAAAGGGTCCTTATATGATCATTTCGAAAGCTTCTCCCACGCTGGTAGCATCCGGCTACATAGGGCCTGGTTACCCCCGTGACAACGTGAAAAAAGAGTTGTCCTTTAATAAATTTTCTCATGGCACTTCAAAGTAGGCGAACTTGTATAAAAATATTCATTGCACTTATAGTAGGCGAACTTTAAAAATGTTTCACAAAAATATGTATCTGAATGGGACACGAATCCACTTTAAAACTTTTATACCAAAAAATATTAAGCTTTTACAAAACGATTACAAGAATATTAACAGAAAACAAGAAACAAAAATTGACTCCCGAACAACCAACCATCAGACAGTATTCAATGTTGCCACGACGACTGACCGAACGGAAGTCCTGTTTGTTGTTGTTTGTTTTCAAAGATCATTTTTGAGGTTAATGTCATATGAAACTTTTCGTAATTAGGCAACTGGTAAATGACGTGTGACGATAAATTAATAAAATAATAATGAACGTATTAAGTTAAATATTTATATATTAATTTAACATATCTATTTCATGTTTATAAATTACATAATTTTTTAATTTGGTATACCTTTAACTTTATATATTCATAATGAAATTGAAATATTTCGATATAACGTTTGGCAACCACGCAACTGAAGTGCAAGCGACATCTGTGCAAAGAGAAGCAAAACCTCCCAAAAAAGTGAGAAAAGAAATCTAAAAATTTCAGATTATTCAAATGTCACTCCAATATTTTTCCAAATTGGAGTGAAATTAGGGTGACAATTTTTAACACGTAAGGAGCCATCTGGATTATGTGTTATCTGTGATAAAGATTATTTAAGAAAGGGAGATTTTCACAAATCTAAGATTTGTCAGCATTCATGGGACACAGAGCACAGAATAAATTTTAATAACGCCAAAATTATAATGAAAGAAGCGATAGACCCTAAAAGAAAAATAAAAGAGGCATTTTTAATTCAATCTAATAAAAATAAATGTATTGCTCATGCATATGTAGATGTTAGTAATGTATGGCAATCGCTTCTTTGATTTTAAAGAACATTACATAAATAAACATAACATACGTGAAATTTAAAAATAATCGTACAGAAAGTTTGGGCTTTTTGGTTTTACCTTATTAAGTAATTATCAGGTAGTAATTGTTAATTTTGAAGTTTAACTTAATATAATGTCATTTTAACAGAACGTCAACGATTTCTTGTACACGTATCTGTTTTAAAAAGTAAAGTGTTCTCGAATAGTTCAATTTAAATATTTTAAATAGTTTTTCTTGATTCTTTTACCATTTTTTGCTTCCGACGACGGAAAGAGAAAACTTTCCGAAACGTTAAGCATTTTTTTCTTTGTTAGGCAAATTTTTATTACTGTAAACACAACTTCTGACAAGCAGCGTCCGTTTAGGTTTAACGCAGAAGTGTTTACAAAAAATAACTATTTTATTTTGTAGATTTTTCTTGCAGTGCAGTGGCTAAAAACCCATAAGGATTTTTTTTTGGATAAATAGTAAAGGGACTTTCAAAAAACACCATATACTAGAATTACATAAAATGTATAATTCTAGTCACTAATTACGAATTAATTACTAATTGTAACTACAGGACGAATTTATAATACAATATTTCTTCTATATTGCCTGGTAAATATTAGTAATAATATAAAAATTCCATAACAGTCATTCTATAAAAATCGGAAAAGGTCTATTATCGACTCTGCAATTCAACACAGAATTAGGAGCGACTCAAGAGCATTCTGGAAATTAAAAGACAGGGTTTTCTACAATCATGCCTTGAGTACAAAAACGAAACTTGCAGTGTACCGAGCTATAATAATCCCCACCGTGTTATATGGAAGCGAAACTGGGTGCAGCACCGCCAGCACATGAACGCACTGAACAAGTTGCAACAGAGACGCCTTAGACAACTGTTAACAATCAAATGGTTCTACCATGTCTCAAACGTATCGGTCCTTGAAAAAGCTAGCTGCGGGAGCGCCGAAGTCATGATTACTAAATACTGCTTAAGGTCAACTGGTCACGTATGCAGGATGCAAGAAAACCGCCTACCAAAATATCTTCTTTACGGCGAGCTTGTAGACAGTAACAGGAAACCGGGTGGACAACTAAAAAGGTACAAGGATATTTTCCACGAAAACTTAAAGGGAGTATGTATGCAGAATCAGTGGGAGGAAGCAGCGCACAATAGAACGCAATGGAGAAGAATTATAAACTCAGTTAACGACAACTAAAAAGTAAAGAGGCAACAAAGTAACGAGATTTTGAATGTCCGGATTGCGGAAGTGAGATAACATCACGTATCGGGCTTCTCAGTTACAGAAAAGCTCATGAAAGAAGACACCCTGCGTAATCATCTTATGATGCATGTCAAATATATTTCAGCGAGTAATGGCATTAAGTAAGTAGTAAGTAATTAAACCTGTGTTGTGCAAATGTGCATCAAAAATATCAAGAAGAAAAACAACATATTTTTTTCTAAAATATAAATTCAAATCATTTAGATATATCAAAATATCTTCTTTACGGCGAGCTTGTAGATGGTAAGAGGAAGGAAATATACTTTCCGTAACGTTAAGCGGCGCGCAAACCAGAGCGGTGGCGGTGCGGACAGTAGCGGCACAGATTATACAGATTATAAACTTTGGTTTTTCTTTATTGTTTTTCGTGGTTCCAATTTTCGGAATCGGGCACTAGTTAGGTTACTAGTTTGCGCACATAGCACGCCCACTTATGGCCCGTAAAATTGTACACACCGCCTGACCGGCACGGTTATTAGAGAGATATCGGAAAACCGAATAGCGTCATGCAGTATTTACGCGTACCTTATCATGGTTACGATATGCGCGAGTCGATTTTTAACGCAACACCCGCTAATAACGTTACCGCCTGACGTAATTTGCGGATCAATTACACCAAGCGCTATTTCTAAATAACGTTTAAAAATTGCTTAAATGGGCATGTGCGGGTATTTGACAACCGGGGCCGGCCGGCGAGATCTTTTATTTTAGGTTATGTTTGAATTGTTTTGAATTATTACTTTAGTTTTATTAGGTAATTTGATATTTAAGTAGCTGGGATTAGTTTTAATTAAATAAATATGGCCCAAAATATTGATTCCACCTCTTCCAATATTAAAGAACCTATAAAGAGGCTTAGGTTTACAGCAGATGACGACTTAGCCCTTCTAAGAGAATTTGTTGCTTGTGGCCCTAAACCCACTGGCAGACGCTGAACAATAAAGCACTGGAAATAAGCACTTTAGCCCTTTAGTTTTAAAATACCTAGTAAACAAAACAATTTCAAAGTTTTAAATTCAAAGTTAGGTTAAGTTTAAATAGCGGACGCGACGCGAACAGAATTCTTTCCCATCCGATAACTATAAATGAAGAGAGTTAATAGTACCTCACGTAAAGGAAATAACACCTGGCCTTATTAACGTCCATGCACGCTATTCGGTTTAGCGATATCTCTCTATTACGCTGATGTTACGCTGCTTATTGTTATTTTACGCGAGTTTAGTTTTTTTTTGCGCACAGGAAATTTTACTCGTTTGCACATCGTCATAAGAAACAATTTTCGTACCAGAAATTAGGGACAAGATTTTTATCTGTATACTTATAGGATACCTAATCTGTGGTAACGGTAAATGTATCTAAATTGAAGAGAGACACACTACCGCGATCTGGCGAACGCGCCCGCTTCTTCTAGCAGCGAACTACCGCGCGGTACTTTTGGTGTCCTCCATTCGCGAACTTCGAGTTCCGGGCTTTACGCCCTGGGGCTACTCGAGAACGGTTCTGAAAGGAGCGGTGCGCGATAGCCTGGTGCCTCCATATGGCGCGGAACAGTTCTGGAACTTTATGACTCAACTGAATGGAGTGAGAGTATCGCGTTCTTGAACAGTTCAGAGGTGCTCAACTGCGTGAAAGGACAGCATTTGCGGGCGGCGCGGCGTTACTCTAGATTAGAACGCTGCGTGCACCATTTGCCCGCCAGTTCGCACGATAGTTAACAAATAGAATCACCCGAGTTATCATGTGTAATACAGAAAACAATGAAAATTTCCGTCAGCAACCAACCAACTATATGATTTATCTAATAAAGCCAAAAGTAAAGATGTTTGTACAATGTTTCTTATTAAAAATTATTAAAAATTAAAATTTTTTAATAACTTTCTCTAAACGGTGTTGACACTGACTGCCAATTAGCTCTGTTATCTATGACCGCGGACCGCGTTGGTGTGCGGATGTTCGTGATCGCATTGTGACCGCACCGTTGCCGCTTCCGCCACCGCGCCCGCTCCCGCTCTGGTTTGCGCGCCGCTTTAGCATTTTTTTTGTGTTTGTGTTAGACGTTAGGTAAATTTGTTTATTAGTAAGCCACTGCTGACAATTAGTCTCCGTTGGATTAACGCAGCACTGTTGACACAAAAAATAACTATTTTATTTTGTAGATTCTCTTACAGTGGCGAAATACCAATAGGCCTTTTTTGGAGAGACGAATCCGGCACAGAGGTATAGACATTTTTCATTTAGATATACTCAAAAAAATTAAAATAAACTTTTTTATTGCACTTAAAATTAAAAAAAAAAGGTTTTAAAAAATATTTCATACCCATAATTCCTATATCAACATTGGCCATATTAAACTGAAAAGCCGTTGTAAAAAATTCAACCGCCTCGTGCATATCGCTTATAAATGTAGTTTCGAGCAACTCCACCATAATTTTAAGAGCGTCATCCAGCAACTTTAAAAACGCTATGGCATTCGTAAAATAATCGATTGTTTCCTAGAAAATTCCCCATTAATATTTATATGAAAATCCCTAAATTATTTTTAATAAAAACCTGCAAACTTTCCAACTTTTTGACGTCTTCTTCGGTGGCTTGCACTGTTCCAGAGTAAACTCCTTGCTTTAAGTCTTCCAGTAGTTTTAAAGGGTTTACAAATAAAGTTTTCATTAGGAGCATGTACAAGTCTGCCTCGTCAGCTTTGTTTTCTTTCCTGAAAGTACCATATTCACAGATCATGTACAGGGTGTCCCATTTTCCTGTTTGCAGGGTTTCTTGTTTATGAGTAGAGGTACAGAGATGCGGGTTTCACAATACTGTGCTACTTTTTATGAAACTAAAAATACTACACACATATTTGTTCTAGCCCTCTTAGTTCATAAACTATAGAGCGAATTCTATATTGTTGCATTTTTCAACTCCCCTTAAATCTCTATCTTATAACTTATGAACTGGATGAAAACAGAGACCCATAGAGTTTTTCACGTAGAATTTAGTGGTGTAGTTTTTCGCTGGTAGCTGTTATACTTAAAATATGACCCAAACGGATGTTTTTTAAATGGGATGCCGTGTATTTTTTCATTTTATTTGCCTTGTTATGAGCTTTATAAAAATATGTATAATATACTCTATAGTTATTTTCATAAACAAGGTAAAAATATGTATTATTTAACTTTTTAACATGGGCGGTCTACAGTCTATTTAAGTTGACAATAAAAAAAAGTTAATCAAAACAATCGAATAACCCGGTAAAACATACGAAAATGGGACACCCTATACTGCATCATAAAAAAACGGCGTGAAAGTAGTGTAAGGAGTTACAATTGCCAAACTTCTGCCAACTCCTCAAATGTTTTTATAAAAAATCATAACAAAATAAATAGCGACATATGATCAAGAGGATTGGGAGATAGTGTTCCTTACAGATTATTTACCTGAATTTCTCAAATTCTTCATTGACAATTCCAGATGACCTAGCCAAATTAAAAGCTTCTTTGTATTTCTTCTCATTTAAATGTTTTCTTATAATTTCGGCTATTTCTTGATTATTTTTTTCATTTTCCTCTTCTTCTTCATCGCTTTCTTCATCCTCTATGTTAAAAAAAAACAAAAAAATATACAATAAGGTTATAGCATAGATCAAAAGTTGTATGATCAAGCTGGCTTTGATTATATGTGTTTCTATAGTAAACAAAAATATATAATAATAATAAATATATAATAGGGTAAAAAAACTATAAGGCTGGACGCACACAGAAAGTACGTTGTTTTTTGCCTAAAACTGTGTTCATGTGAGGCCTCAAAGCAAATTAAATGGGCTAATGCACACTGATCAGTTGCAAGGTTTAAGACAGGTTTAAGCTTGTTTAGCCACAATCAGGCTGATCGACGTTGATGGATGGGTCGTCGTTTTATGCTAACACACAGGCCCGTTCCTGGGGTATCTGGCGCCTACGTGCAGCATTCTTTGGTGTGCCCTTTTTATATTTAAATCAATTATATATTTTAATCTTAATCTTAAGAATTTAAAGAAGTTATATTCTGTGTAAAGAATTTATATACATTGTGAGACAGGAAATTGTAGAGAGAAACAAGCCCTATAACATAGGATACAACATTTTAATGAACAGTGCTTTCCATAAAATCAATAAAATGAAAAATATACGAAATAATACACATGTACTGATTTCTTTCGAAAATCGACAACTATGAAACTATGATCCCGTCCCCGACACAAACGGTACATTGTGAGACAGAAAATTGTAGAGAGAAACAAGCCCTATAACATAGGATAGAACATTTTAATGAACAGTGCTTTCCATAAAATCAATAAAATGAAAAATATACGAAATAATATACATGCACTGATTTCTTTCGAAAATCGACAACTATGAAACTATGATCCCTTCCCCGACACAAACGGTATATTGTGAGACAGAAAATTGTAGAGAGAAACAAGCCCAACATAGGATAGAACATTTTAACGAACAGTGCTTTCCATAAAATCAATAAAATAAAAAATATACAAAATAATATACACGTACTGATTTCTTTTGAAAATCGACAACTATGAAACTATGATCCCTTCCCCGACACAAACGGTATATTGTGAGACAGAAAATTGTAGAGAGAAACAAGCCCTATAACATAGGATACATTTTAATGAACAGTGCTTTCCATAAAATGAATAAAACGAAAAATAAATAGATGAGATCAATGTGTTGCCGACAGATTGCCCCAAACTTTATCCTATGATGTATGTTTAAGTATTTGTTTATTAACGAGAAAGCGTATCGGTTTTTTGTTACAAAGTACTGATTGACACTTAGACTTTGCGCCCTTAAATGTTGCGCCTACGTGCGCGCACGCACTGCACGCTCGCCAGGAACGGCCCATTCTGTATCTGCTATCGTGCATATACAGGGTGTTCTAATATTCCGTGGACATTGAACTACTAAGTATTTATTTTTGGAATCAAAATAAGTTCATTGGACACAATTATTTACCTCTATACAAAAGTGCTTCTTCTGTCGGCTAGAAGGCATCAAACTTTAAAAAATAAACAATTTTTTAAAATATTTTAAGAACCATTGATTTGGGGTGCCTATGTTGTGTTAAGAGGTTTGACATTTGACATTCACAAAAAAAACAAGAGAAAGTACGGAAAGGGTTAGCTTACTTAAACTACCCCCGCCCCTACATAAATTTTAGTAGAACTATTTTCCAGCTCTACCGACGACTGATTTTTTTTTTTGATTTATGTTCTTTTTGGTATTTACTAAATTTTTTGTTTCTTGTAAAAAAACGCAACGTCGCGCGTCGCATAGTTCTTGAGGAAAATAAAATTTTAGAATTTTTTTTTTCTAAAAACAGGCCTGCAAAATATACAGGGAGTTTCAATATTCCATGGACAAGAAACACTACATACTTTTTGAATCGAAATAAGTTACTGGCACATAATTTACCTCTGTACAAAAGTGCTTCGTTTGTCCGCATCCGTTAGAAGGCATCAATCAAAAATAAACCAGAACTTGATTAGTTTAAAATTTAATGAAGCTTGTTGTCAAATATCATTTGTGTTACTAACATAACACTCCATATTTTTGCTAAGTAGAATATTAGCGCATTCTAGATTTTACGCGTCTACATAGAAAACATTTCTTTTCCAAAAAGTATGCGCGGTGGCGTTTTTTTACAAGAGACAAAAAATGTAGTAAAAACCATAAGGACCATTTTACGAAAAATAAAAGTCTTCGGTGGAGTTGGAAAATATTTCTACGAATATTCATATAGGGGTAGGCGTAGTTTTCACCTATCCCATACATTTTCTTAATTTTTGTGTAAATTAAATGTCAAAGCGCCTAGCAAAACATAGGTGCCTCAAATCTCATTCTAATTGGACTATCGGTTCTTAAAATATCTTAAAAAATGCGTTTATTTTTTTAAAGTTTGGCGCCCTCTAGCGGACAAACGAGGCACTTTTGTATAGAAGTAAATTGTGTCCAATGTACTTAATTTGATTCCCAAAATACCTAGTAGTTCTATTTCCGTCCACGGAATATTGGGACACCCTGTATAACTCTGAATAACACATTTTGCTTTTATTTGAAACATCACGTTTTTATAAGGGACAAAAACAATTACGGCCGGGACAAAAACGTTTTTAACTAAAACAGTTATGCTCTTTTGGTGTGCGCCCAGCCTAAGGGTTAAAAAAATTCAAACTAAATTCCTGTTTCCCAGGAAATGACTACAACTTTGATTTTTAAATGGCACCCTCGGTATTTTTTTACTTTATTCAATAGAAAATGACATTCTGAATAGAAAGACATATCATATGTCAACTTTTGACATTCTCGCTTAATAAAAAATCGTATTTTAAACTTCAATTTAGAGTGCCATGGCTATGTTAAAAACACTAATTCTTAATCAAGAAGCCCTGGAAAAATAAATTTGATCGTCTAATGTTTTTAGTGTCTTGTCCTGGCCAGTTAGAAAATGCTCAAATCGTATTTTTAATCATATCTGAATTTTTTCAAAAGGAACGACGGTGGCTCATTAGCATATTTGGAAAAATCATTTTTTTACGAATAATTTGATACCACACACTTGGTATTTAGAGTCAAATTTTCGTTACGAACAGCAAGTTATAATTTCAAGTAAACCATATGCGAACATGTTAAAAGTTGACATATGATACGTCATTCTATTCAGAGTGTTATTTTCTATCGAATAGAGTAAAAAAATACCGAGGGTGCCATTTAAAAATCAAAAGTGGTAGTAATTTCCGGTGCAACAGGAAGTGACCGAAAACAATTGAATACGTCAATCGGTCCTAATTTATGACATATACTAATATCCCAAATCTCGTTTTTTTAACTGAAAAATTAAGGAAGTTATAGGGGTGAGTCACTTTTGAGACGCACCCGGTATATTTCTTTGATCATACTGGTAGATACAGTAAAAACTTAAACAGGATTAACCACAGGAACAAGCCAAAATTTTTATAAAGAATGCATTTTTCTCAAAATGTTAATAAAAAAGTTTTTCCTCTTGTAAAGACAATTCAGGGACGTAATGTATAATTTAAGGTGGGTATGCAACAAAAGTATACTTTCAAACATGAAAAGTTAACTTAGAGAAAATATAATATTTCCAAAGACTTTATGTTACTAAAATGTGCATAAAAACCTTACCGTTCTTCAGTTCTTCTTCAATAGCTTTCTTCAAATCTAAAGCCATTGAATCCCACTCAGCTTCCAAATCATCTAAGTGAGGTATGCGGAACTGAGTTTTCATAGCTTCCAGCATTTTCACGTGCTCGTCCAATCCTGCTTGCATTTTTTCCAGAGACAACTAAAAATATTATAATCGCATATTTTACAGAAAATTACAAAACCAATGAAGAAACAACTCAAAATTTTTTCATCAGACCTTCATTCATTCTATCTAAACATTCAATTTCAAAACATTCTATCTAGTTTTAACTATATAGTCCAAGAAAATAGGCCTTCAAATACGAAATTTTGGTAAAAACTTGAACTTTCGATATGTATAATTATTGTATAAGTTACTTTGAAAGATCTAAAAATGAATTGCGAAAGATTTTTTGAAATTCACCTCTGAGAAGAGGTGAAAAATAATTTTTTTTTTGAAATTTCGGAGAAACAGTAAGGACTAGAAAAAAAAGTTCAAATAAATTCCAATTCCTTCCAGTTGAAGTCCAATTTTATATAAAAATAAACTCTATACTTTTTTTGCTTAAATCAAAATTAACCGAGTGGCAAGAAGCTAGAGGACATCTTTTATTGAAACATTTTTTTCCTTGCAAAATCCTTATTGTTTCTTCGAAATTTGAAAAAAAAAACACTTTATTTATATTTTTTTGGGGTGAATTTAAAAAATCTTAATTGAAATTTATAATTTTCCAAGCACTCAAAAAAATGTTAATTATATGAATTTTTCAGCAATTATATTTTTTTTTATTTCTACTATCATCCCCTAGTTTATAGCCACCCTATCTCGGTTAATTTTGATCTGAGCAAAAGAAGTATAGAGATCATCTATGTAAAATGTGAAGGTGCGTTCACACCAGCTGCGTCGCTCCGTGCCGCGCCACTCAAATCATTTTTTTAACATATACTTTTGTGCGCGCTAAAAAAAATACACTTCAAAAGTACATGTCAAAAAAATGCTTTGCGCGGAGCGGCGCAGCCGGTGTGAAGGCACCTTGATGTTCCACAACTTTTTTCCAAACAAACGTTTTTTTTCTAGTTTTTACCGTTTCTCCAAAATTTCGAAAAAATAATTATTATTTATTTATTTCTCCCCTTCTGTGAGTGAGTTTGAAAAAATCTTTCACAATTTGTATTTAGATCTTTTAAAGTTAACTCATATCAAAAATTCAAGTTTTTACCAAAACTTTGTATTTGAAGGCCTATTTCCTTGAACTATATAGGTACATTTTTTTAACCAAAAATTGTCTTATGTATTTCAAAAACTCTCTGTAAAGATTATTACTATATTATAATTTTCTTTATACACTTTACATAAACATAAAACCAATTATCAAATAAATAACAAAATATAAAATAAACTTAACAAACAAATCCTCAAAAAATTGAAATCAAATTCAAAAATTTTAAGTAATGGTTACAAATAATAACAAGTTTGTAATTTAAAAAAGTATTAAGATTTCTTAATTACTCTTTTTATTCAATGGTTTACAGCAAAAATTCAGAAAATTAACGTTCTTACTTACATCAGAACTATATATGTTAGTAGCAACAAAGGTAGTGATAGCATTAGCAGCACTTTTCCTTACTAAAGCCGACTTGTCCTCTAAATGATTGATTATTTTTTCAATAACATCATTTACTAGTTTTCTTGGTATTGCATTTTCTTTCTGTAATCTTGACCAGTGCTGAATTACTTTTGATCTATAAAATTAAATTAATCATAAGTCAATCCGTTCAATTTAATTTGTTTGAAATAAATATCTACCTTACGTGAGCAGAAATATCATCTATATGATCCATAAGAATAGTCAGAAAATCATTTCTAAACTCTGTCTCTTCTTCGGTAAGGGTATGTTTTGTTAATACATTTATTATTACTTCAGCAATAACATTTATGACAGCATTACGCAAGGTGTAGGACTAAAACATCATTTGAAATTAAAATTTACTGAAGGTACTTTTGCTGTAAAACCAGTATACATACATCATGGTCTAAATACTTATTGATATAGAGCACTTCAGGTAACATAAGGCTGGGTATTTGTACAGCCATTGCGGTTAAAAATTGAGCACAGTATCTTGAACCCTTAAAAATGTTGGATTAAATAAAATGAATGTAAGAAAGATTACTATTAATGAGTTACGTGACTGTCATGGAATTTCTCATCAGTCTGCCATTCTGTACATTCTTTAACAAGAGAATGGATCAAGCCTTTACAATTAAATTTTTCAACTAGTTGTTTAACACCATCGTTAAAACAAAGCACCAAGTGCTCTTCAGTCTTAATCATCTGTATTGCTCGAATTGTAAACACAGTACCGTAGTTATATGACTTTATTAAAGTACCTGAAACATTAATGTAAGTATTTATCAATGCACTTGGTAAGTAAATTTTTTACTCACCAATGATATTAAAAATATTTTCCCGGACTGATTTATCATTTTTTACACAAGGATTTGCCAAAAATCCGTAACACACTTCAGCTATAAGGCTAAGAAAATTTTGTTCTACTATTGGTGGCTCCCAAAACAAGCCTATTTCTCTTTGAATTAAATCATTCAACACAAGTAACATTTTATTCTTATCAATGTTAAAGAGAGACTGATCTGCAACTTTACGTTTTTTTAACAAATTCTCATTCTTCAAGTTAGTTAAATTTGTGTTTTCAATGAATAAAGCTGTCTCTGTATAAATGTATATTAACATTTTCATAATGTTTTGATATTTCAGTAGAAGTTCACCATTAATGTTTGATTTGTCTTCAAGAAGAAATCCTATGGCTTTATCCAGTTCAGAAACGCCTGCAATACGTAGACATCAGTTATTTAATCAAAATTAAAAATTAAAAGAAGCACCTTTGTGAAGATCCTGGTATGCTTTAAAAGCAAGATCCATAGGAAGAGATTTTCCATGATGAATTACAGAATAGAAAAGATCAAAATTATCTATAATAAATTCTGCACCTTCTTCTCTGAGCGATTCCTTTGCAGCTTTAAAAAAATCATATAATAAAACATATTAAACTGTAAAAAAAATATATCAAACTTCTAACCTTTTAAAGACTCTAAAAAGTTTCTTTGTTGAACAATATTTTTCACACAGAAATGATTGACTTCTGTAAGAAGTTCCTCTTTTTTCGTCGGTATTTGGAAGGTGAAATAAGCCATTTTTATATCATTACAACGTTAAATAAAATAATAATTTGAAGTTTACCTCTATACATAAACAAAACTTTTAAGTTTACGTTAAATTTGATTTTGAATGGATTATGGATTGAAATACTCGAATCTTATTGGTTGTTTTAAAAAATATCAAACATACATATATATTTATTCTATAGCTACTGGTGTTTCTTTGGTACAGTGCCTTCTATTAAAAGATCAGCCTACGGGCGGACTTTTGTTTACTTCATCAGCTGTACATACTTAGATATTGGGTTAGATTCCGTTTCATATTTTGCCGGTTGATTTTTGGTTTTAACTCTTTGATTTTTGGTATTATTTATTATTGTAGTGCAAAAAACTAATTATTTTGGTGTTGAAGTGACATAAACTACTACCAGATATATGGTCACTCTCGGTTTCGCATAAAAAAATAGAAATTTTAAAAATTACACGTTGTGTAAGTGATTTAACCTAAACTCCAGACGACAACGAAGGCTTTCGGTGGCGTATCGTGTTTCCACGATTTAACACAGAGTTGACACTTCTTTCTAGTTAATTATTTTATGCTTTTACCTTGTGCTTGTCTTTTAACAACATGCTTATTAATTTTTTTCAATTTTACTTTTATTTTCAACCTGGATATATTTTCTAGTTTTGAAAAAGAAGAAAGCAGTCTTTAAAGTATAGCTTAAGAATATTAAAACAGATACCATGTCTATGTTAGCGGAACGAAAACGTAAACAAAAATGGTCTTTAAATCCCAGAGGAAAACAATGGGCAGAAGGTAAATCAGATTCAAACAATTTTTTCTTTAGCTAGAATATACTATATTTTCTAGATACAAACAAATTTGGCCAGAAAATGCTAGAAAAAATGGGGTGGACGCATGGTAAAGGTCTAGGTGCAAAAGAGAATGGAGTTACTGAACATATTAAAGTTAGTTATAAAAATGATAGCAAAGGTAGGTCCAGCTAATTGTCTTAAATGAATGATTTTTACGTTTTAAATATTTTAGGGATGGGATATAAGGATTCTGATGATCAATGGACAGAACATCAATCAAACTTTAGTGCCCTTTTGGAGGCACTGGGAGGTAAAAAGACAAAATCAAATGATTTGAAATTAAGTTCTTTAGAAGAAAAGTCTCAAAATTCCAAAGCAAGAGTTCACTACAAAAAATTTACAAGGGGCAAGGATTTAAGTAAATATTCAGAGAAGGATTTAGCTAATATATTTGGGAAAAAAACTTTAAACCAAGATTTAGAGAACAATGTACAAGAAAAAGATAATAGTAAAATTGAAAATGTTCAAGAAGCTGCCGAATCAAGTTTCTTTTCTAACAGTGGCTCTATGTCAGATTACTTTAAGAAAAAATTACCAAACTTTGGCAAAAGTCATGGGTATGTTGTAGGAAATAATGGTGTATTAAAGAAAGCAGATGAAACAGAATCAGAAAGTGAATTACAAACAAATTTTGGCTTTGGTTTTAAAAGCTCAGAGACTGAATCAGATGATATTTCTAAGAAGAAAAAGAAAGAAAAAAAGAAAAAAGTTTTGGAAGAATCTGTTGATGGGACTCCAACTAAAAGAAAGAGATTGGAAGAACAAGAAGTGCACGAAGATACACCAATAAAGAAAAAGAGCAAATCTAGATTAAACAAGACAGAAGAAAATGGAGTTTCTAATCCTGCCTTTGATCCGTTGTATAATCCAGTTACTGTAGAGAAGCATATTTTGGACACAATAGAGGAAACATTTAATGAAAGTCTGAATAGCACTGTCGGTGAAATAGGCAAACAGTTTGAAGTGAATGTTCAAATTAACAATGAAAACACACCTGAAGTAATGAAATACAAGAAAAAAGAATTAGGTACAGATAATGAGAATGATGTTAAAGTCAAAAAGAATAAAAACAAAAAAAGGACAGATACAGAATCTATCGATTCTAATTTTGAATCAGGACAACATACATCATCAAAACAGAAGAAAAAGAAAAAAAATGTTGAAGAAGTCGGTTTAGACAACCCTCTATTTAATATAAGTACAGAAAGTGAAGAAAGTTCATTAAATCAGAATGAAGAAGATTCTACCAAGAGTAAAAAGAAAAGAAAGAAAAAAAACATTGAAGAAATTGGTTTAGACAACCCTGTATTTAGTATAAGTATTGACAGTGAAGATTCTTCAATAAGTCAGGATAAAGAAGATTCTACCAAAAGTAAAAAGAAAAAAAAGAAGTCAAAGTCTGAAAAAGAAAATTGCGGTTTAGAAAATCCTGTTTTTAATGTAGACGAAAAAGAATCTTCTGCAGATATTTGTAATAATGTGGCATTTGAAGTACAGAGGAAAGATAAATCAAAGAAAAAGAAGAAAAAGCTGAAAGAACAGTCCGTGGGTTTGGACAATCCTGCTTTAAGCCTGAACGATTCTATAGATGAAAATTGTGATTTGATGTTAAATATCGCCAGCACGCCAATTTTTCAAGGTAACAATGAATCAACAGGGGAAGACTTTCATATAAAGAAAGTAAACACAGTTACTCGAAGAAAAAGTGTCCGATTCAGTGATATAACTAGAGAAAGGATTATTCCCAGTAAAGAAGATATCGAGGAATTAGATACTTTAGATCATAATGGAGAGATTGTCGAAGTTGAAGGAAAGCTTAACGATAGTTTTAATAATATTATCCAAAAAAAATCAAAAAAACGGAGAAAAGGATTGGATAACGATGCTTTTGATGTTCAAGCTAACAACATCGAAGAGAACATAACCTCGATTTCAAACACCCTCGATAGTTACGAAGCTGAAATCGAGAACGACTTGAACGAGGCTAAACTGAAATCGGTAGAGTTAAACGAAGTGATGGTTGGTGAGGTGGGAAATCCAGATGGTGAGAATGAGGCTCTCGATGATGGCAGTGTTAAATTGAAATTTAAGTATGCCCAGTTTAGGAAACAGCCTGCTCACATGGAGGCTTTGGTGGGGCCGAAGAAATCATACAAACATTTGATAAAAGGTGACATAGTGGTGGGATTTAAACATTCTAATTTGCATGAAATAAATGGATATGTGAAGAAACATGTTAGGTAGGCCTAAATTCATTTTGAAGTGTGTTTATGTGTGTTTCAATAAAGTTTTTGTTTTAATAATGAAAGCGTATTTTGTACAGGGTGGGTCAAGTTCGACGCTTTTAAATGGAAACACCCTTTTCTATAAGAGATAGACAACAACTAATATCGGTGTCTGGAGCTCAATTTTTGTCAAAAACATGATAGTGAAAACCGCATATCGATATCTATTACCGTTTCGGTGTTACGGGGTGTTTTTCAAAAATATGCATTTTTAACAAATCGCTGTAACTTTTTTGCAATGGAAAATTTTGTATTTTTATGAAAACATTTCCAAAGCACCTTTTTACGTAGAATTTAATGGTTTAAGCCTTGTTGATATATTAATAGTTAGTCAATGTGCCTGTATAAGTCGATGTTGCCAACTGGTGGCAGAAATTAAAACGTAAAAAGGGGCGGAGACTATTGAATTTGGCAAAGAAATAGGGACTAGGAATTCTTCGAATTTAATTCTCGGTAAAGAATAAAATATCTTATCTGCTTCGAACCGAATTTTTACCTCAAAGCGTTATTTACTATTTACATTTTTTATTTTTGGATATGGATTTATAGATTTATATTTATTTTGATTTTCATGGCCCCTTGTTAAATACTAAATTATTATATTAGGTATATATATATATATATATATATATATATATATATATATATATATATATATATATATATATATATATATATATTTTATTTCTAGATGGATAATTAAAAAAATATATGAAACTATACCTACCTACCTCTGTAACTTTGTAAAAAGTATGACGGATTTAACATAATGTTTTTTTTTAAATGTAACATCCTATTTTATTTTAGATCCTGCGTAAAATTATTACTTTTTTATGTATAATCCTTGTATAATGGTGTAACCTAAAACTAGTTTTCTAATATTTCAATTTGTTGATGAAGAAAAAATATTAGATACTATGTAGATATTTAAGGCAGATGCTACAGGGTGTTCAACATATATTAATGGTTAATTCTACGTATTTAAAATTAAAAAAATATCTGCAGACTCTTTCAATGACACAGCCTATACTGAGTGTTTTTTTTTAAAGTGGTTCACCTCTATAACTTTTTTATTTTTTCAGATTCCGAGAAAAAAACTAAATTGGGAATGTTAGTAGGTATATGACATAAATCGAGATTGATTCGTATTCAGTTAGTTTCGGTCACTTCCTGTTTCACCGGAAATGTATACATTTGATTTTTAAATGGTACCCTCGGTATTTTTTATACCGTAAGATCGAATAAAAACGGCGTCAGCGATGGCTATGAAATGAACATCGATGACATTTCTCATATAAATTTACATATAAAATGACAGCGCTTTTCATTTCATAGCCATTGCTGACGCCGTTTTTATTCGATCATACGGTACTTTATTTGATAGAAAATGACATTCTGAATAGAATGACAACTTTTGACATCAACAATCATATGTCAACTTTTGACATTTTCAATTAAATCAAAAATAGCATTTTAAAATTCAATCTAGTGTCATGGCTGTGTTAAAACCATTATTTTTTAATCAAGGATTAATCAAGGAGCTTTGGAAAAATTGATTTGGTCGTCTAATATTTTTTGTGTCTTTTCCTGGTCAGTTGAAATATGCCCATTTCGTATTTTAATCATAACTCAATTTTTTTTAATGAAACGAGAGTGGCTCATTAGCATATTTGGAAAAGCATTTTTTGATACCTAATAAATTTTGGTACCTAATTTTGGTAAATAATTTGGTACCACACACTCCGTATGTCGAGTCAAACTGTCGTTATCTTTACGACCGGTTACATGTTGTTTATTATCATGGCACTCTACTAGATTGAACTTTAAAATACTATTTTTTAAGTAAAAGAGTCAAAAGTTGACATTGAATTATTCTATTGAGAATGCCATATTCTGCAAAATAAAGTAAAAAAATACCGACGGTACCATTTAAAAACCAAAAGTTGTAGTCATTTCCGGTGAAACAAGAAATGACCGAAACTAATTGAATACATCAATCAAGCTACTTTTGAAAAACACCCGATATATTATAATTCTTTCTGATAGATTTTACAAAATCCTTCAACTTCTATTAAGAATGTCATATAACTAAATAAATCACTTTACTTAATGTTTAATAATAAATAATTTTTGTTTTGTCATATGGCAACTTGTTATAATGTAAATGAATTAAAAGAAGGATAAAATTCAGAACAGATTGCAAGCTGTTGAGTATAGGTGTACTTAATATACTTTCTTAACAAATGTTGAAAGGTTTTGTAAAATCACTAGAAAAAATAATAATATATATATCGGATCAGCCAAAAAAAATGTTTGAACACAGTGTAGCATCTAACTGCAAGTATTTTTACATATAAATATATTTTTTTTTCATCTCTGTAAAACACTCCTACCAAATTTGTGTAGTCCAACTTCGGAAACAACTGACAGTTAAGTAACATAGGAATAAAATTTTACTTTTTTTTTAAATTGTAAATACTTACTAACGTTATTTATAAAAAAAAGTTATAGAATTTTAGGCAGAATCGAAAATAAAATAAAAATGGAGTTTTGCATTAAAAAACATGTATCCGCCACATTTTTTGAAGCAACCAGTATACTCAAAAATAACATTTGAACTGTGTCTCTAAAGATTCTCTATACCCTTTTTTTTATTTTTTTGGAATTCCCAAAACAAACGAGATAATTAACTTTATTTCTTTCGTGATATCTCATTTTATAATATTTCGGAAGAATTAATCAGGTATCTTATTTTTATAATTATTAGAAATAAATCGGAATTAAAGGATAAGGGATATGTAAATATATACCATACGATAAAAAAAAACGGCCTCAGAGGTGGTTTGGAAATGAATATCGATGTCATTTGTACGTAAACAAATAGACGCCGTTTTTTTTCGCTCATACCGTATAAGAAAAAAAATTTAATAAAGCAAACGCATTTATTAATACATGTATATAGATTTACATGGTATGAAGAAATTCGCATTATGATCTCTGAAGGTCCCACCAATGCTTGGTTAAAGTGGCGAGTACGACCACTTAGCAGTCACACCTATAATAATTTAATAAAATATGAATATAATAAACAAACTTATTTCTTTTAGATTTTTTAAAAGCGAGTTATATGTGTTAAGTGGTTTTTGATTATTTTAGGCTAAATTTTTTAGACATATTATTTTAGACCAAATTGTCTGCCCACTCAAACGTCTTCAAAATTATAATGTAGGAAATTCTTAATATGTTTTAATTGGGAATACTTTTAGAAAGTTTCATTTTCACCAAACAAAACTACGTATGTATAATAAATTGCAGTATAATCAACTATAATGCATGATATATACTAGGGGCGTCAAAACTAGATGTTGGGTTTTTCTCGATTATTTCGAACAGAACTCCAATTTTTTCTCAAAAATTTTTTCCAACTTTGTTTTGAAAAATAATTTTTAAATCCATAATCGATGTATATACAGTAATGTCCTCTTTTAGAATACATAATTATTTTCAGCTGCATCGATAAAATAAATCATATTTACTGATGCCAAGTAAAAAAATAATTAGAAAATTATTTTAAACATCTAATTCTTAATTTTTGTCGCTGATAAATAGATACATCACTTTTGTCGACAAACCTACTAATAAAAATTGCGTAAAAAATCATGTTTATTCGCAAAGAGACAATTGAAAACAATTTAATAACTATTAATTTGGGATATAGATCTTAATAAAACAAAAGTTGCATAAAAGCTTTGTTGATTTATGATATAAAATACAGTGTTTCATTTGAAATAGCAAAGAAAAATATAATATCTAGTTTTGACTCATCCTGTATATAATAAACAATTTAGTCTATTTTAATATAATTATATGAATTATATAATTATTAATTATTAACTTAAATTAGTTCCAGTAAAAAACGTCGATATTACCTATTTTTAACTTAACTTAGAAAGAGAGGGCTTTAAATATATATTTTATTATATAAACAATAAAATTCAATCCAAAAAGGGTCAAAATATATTCTTTGGTCAAAATGAACTCTATACGACTACGACATTATGGTATTTTTTGGAATGACAATTTAATAACAAATCCACCAAGCAAAAATACAAAATATAGCCTTTCTTTTCACAAACTCATAACCTTTGCTCATAACTAATAACTTTAAAAGTAAATATATATTTGAATCATCCTGTATATCTATAAAAATACCTCCCTGTCAAATTTACGCTACTTTTGCAAGCATATTTTACAAAAAATATGATTTGAGTGAAAATATAAAATAGGAAATCTGATATGAAGCTTTATCTAAACACAGGGTTGACTGTAGATAAAAAATATTTTACGTTATCAAGTTATTAAGAAAAATTCTCGGAAAAATTATAAAATACACAATATATCTGACAATTCCAAAAAAGCAAAGTGAGAAATGAAACAATTTATAGCATAAAATCAGTATTTTTTTAAACTTTTAAGCAAACTGGGCATTATCGTTTAATCTATCTATCAATCTATCAAATGTTTATTATTAAACTTATCTCAGACTCTATAACATTTTTCCCAAGAGTGATTTAAAACAAATTTATATGAATTTAGAAATAAATATGAACAGTATTTACTTACCTGTAAAACAGATGCTTTTTGCTTAATTAAATATGTTGGAAAATATTATCCAGTAGGTACAAATACACAACACTTAAACACAACAAAATAAACTAATAAAATAATAGTTTCTAATCCAAATTTCACAAATACTGTTTATGTTTCTTCGCGAGGGACGAAAAAACTGAATTTTTTAATTACTCAGATATGCATTAAGGTATATTTCAATTCAAAAGCTTATAAATATTTATTTTTATAAGACATAACCTAAACGAAACGAAATTACAAGTCGAGAAAGATCAACAAAACTGCCGAATTTAGAAGCGAATATAACTTTTTTTCCTTTTTTCTTGTCACAGTTGAAACAAACAAGGATAAAGCTATTTTCGTAAAACATGGGTGAAACGTGCTAATAA